CCGAAGGACCCGAATGGAAGAGGGCATTGAAAATGACGGAAAGCATGGATTGCACGGGCCAAAGGACCCAAATGGAAGGAGCATTGAGAATGACGGAAAGCATGGATTGCACGGGCTGAAGGACCAAATGAAAGAGGCATTAAGAATGATGATAGCCAAAAATGAACCTGGCTGGCATGGAATGAGAAGAGAGAAGCCTGAAGAAGGTCCTTTGACTCCCCACACCCTCCTCCGTCCCGAGGGGCGAAAACTAAAGAAGACCCTGAGAAAGGAGCGGGGAAAGGACAAAAAGAACCCTGGTAAGCTAACTACCCGTCTCGCCCCACCCCCTCTTCCCCTCCGTCTACCCCTCCAAACCCCCCTACTGACTAAGGACTGATGCTCAATGAGGACATCGCGAATGAGTGGGGGGAATGTGTCGGGACCGGTGGGTCCCAAGATAAGTCTTGCCCGTCGAGAGGCGGTATACCGCAGAATTGTGCACGGCAGAGAAAACCGGAGGCAAGAAGGATAGAAAGTGTTCAAGTACTGGTACAGGGGGACGTGGAGGTTGCCAGGATCGTCGGGGTCACGGGACCATGAAAAGGATTAGCGGAAAAGGCGAGCGGCAAGAGACCGCAAGAAAATAGCAAAGGCGGCCGTTCCCCCCAAAGGAAGAAGGACTGCCGGGAAAAGTAATGTCATGGGTCGCGCGCTGCGAGGGGAGAAGAAGGGAGGAGAAGGTAGTAAGTAAGGTGTCGGTGCATGAAGTCATAGCCCGGGCCAAGAGGGCCACCGGGACGTAATGTCAAGACGGCCAAGGGGCCACGAACCAAGTAAAAACCCGCGTTCGGGGAGAGCGGCGCACTGGACATGAGAAGGACAAAGGGAAGGAGGCCGCCATAGGGCGGGAAAACGTCGAGGGAGCCCGAGACGACCGGCGGGACAAGTACCGGCGGGACCACTAGCGGGACTGGTGACGAGGACCAGCGTGGGAAAATGGCGGGGGCTTGTGATGGCCCAAGGGAAAATTATGGCATGCCGCGAAATGCAAATAATTAAAGCAAGACGCACCGTCAAGATCGAGGATCTTGACGGCCGTGAATACTAGCGCCGCTAGCATGAGCGCTAGTAGGAGCAAGCAAGAAGGCCAAAAGAAAAAGAAAAGGCAAAGAAACATGAATGTAGAGGCGTGGGAGCAATCCGAAAAATCTCGGATTGATCTCCCGCAAGAAAGTGGGGCCAAATGAGCCTCCATGAGAAAAATAGGCATCCGGGGGAAAATCGGAGTATGGGGGTTGGAAGAGGTAGAGGCAAACGGAGGCTCCCATGGGCATGGAAAGGCCACAAGTGCAATCAGACTCGACTTATTTACACTTCGTCATGCATGCAAACAGCAATACAGCAACCTGGCGACATGCGCCCACACAGTACTCAAAGATATCGTGATCAGATAAGAGTTCTCTTCCAACTGGCTATGGCGACTGTGCGCCCACACAACTCACTGTTCGCACTCTGGATCACCCTGGATGTCCCACACGCCACACTCAGTATCCATACACAACACACATACCCTATGCTACAGCTATGGCAGCGCTGGCTGCCACTACCCTATCGCTACACTACGCTTCTCTGCCCACTTCGTCTTCGGTCACACTGCAGACCTCCTCGCACAAGCTACTGAGGCAGCACTTCCGCATGGCATCCGCAAGAGTGAATGAATGGCTGGACGCAGCCTCTTGCTTTATACTTCTGCGCTCCATTGGTCTGCCCTGTATCCCTTGGCCCTTGGTGTACACAGTCCCAGACGGTACTTGCTGGACAGGACCGGACTGCTTAACTGGGACTGTTGACTCAGCGAGGTGGCCTACCACCACTTGACCACTTGCCTCTGTTCAACGCAGGTCTACTCCGAAAGGCCACTTCTAGAACCCGCTGACTTGGCCTTTCGGTACTGTAGCAGCTACGACTTTGCCCCTTCAGGTAAGTAGCAGCTACGACCTTGACCCTTCAGACATCCTACAGCTACGACTTCTGATCTGTCTAGACTCCTACGCTACAGGTCTACCGTTCGATTCCCTTCTACCCTGTGACCTACGACAATCTACCTACCANCTACAGCTACGACTTCTGATCTGTCTAGACTCCTACGCTACAGGTCTACCGTTCGATTCCCTTCTACCCTGTGACCTACGACAATCTACCTACCACTGGCGATCCTACAGGTCGCAGGTTCAAAGTTACGGGTTGGCATCCATACTGTACACAGGTAAGACGGGGAACTAGGGATCGAGCCCTGGGACCTGCATTCGCTACTGCGAATTGGTGAATACCATTTCATTCCCGTCGGCCTAAATTCGAGGTCCTCCGAGAAATTTCAATCCAAGGCAGGACCTTTACCCTTCTGTTGTCTCTCGTAGGGACGGAATATATCGGGAGCTGTCTCTAGGAGTTCAGATCTTGTAAACCAGCGGTCGTCTTCCGGTTCTTGATAGCTAAAATGAACCTTGTACTGTTTCTGTGGACGACCCCTACCTCCAGTTCTGAATACATCTTCAGCAGCCATGCCATCGATGTCACACCTTCCATCCATATCGGGCGGAATCATAGATTTACGGGATGGAAACTGATCACTTGTTTGACAAGGTAACAACTTCGACGCATGGAAAACTAGGTAAGTGTGGAGGTGGGCTGGCAGCTCTATGGTGTAGGACGGTCCATCTTCGCCGCCCTTGACTTCTAGGACTGGCCACGGTCCTCTATAGGTGGGCAATAACTTCTGCGAGATGTTCTCCTCAGGTGTAAACTCTTTAGAACTGACCCAGACTAAGTCGCCTACTTGAAACTGTGAAAGGCGACGATGTTTGTTCGCTTGCTCTATCATCCTATGTTGGGCTTTCCTGAGGTTCTCTACAACAGTAGCTAGTTCTTTCTCGTGCTGTACAGCAAACTCCCGGGTCTCGGGTGACAATCTGTGAATCTGATCCCGGTTGAGTTCCTCAAACGGTCTGCGCGGTCTAAAGGACCTGTGCAGTTCGTTGGGAGTGCGGCGTGTGGACAGATGCACGCTTTTATTGTACGCACTAGCTACTTTGGGCAACATCTCATCTCAGTTAATCTGATCTGGCCTAATGTACATGCACAGAACTTGTTGTAGGATCTTGTTCATCTGCACCGTCTGACCGTTAGTTTCTGGATGACAGTCGGACGACATCAACAACTTAGATCCATATACTCCCATGAGTTCTTGCCAGTTCTGGCTAGTAAAGCGACTATCTCTATCGCTAACTATCGACAGTGGGATCCCATTCTCACTTACCCAATAGTCGAAAAACCTCTATATGACTACATCGGTACGTGCCTCTGAAGGCAAAGGAACGAAAACTGCGTACTTGCTAAAACGGTCAACCATGACCATGACTTGGCTCTTGCCATGCCTGCTTTTGACGTGAGTGTCCATGAAGTCTATGGACACCGGGTCTCCCGGCTGATCCGGAATGGGTAAGGGTCTGAGAAGACCTAACGGGGCACGCGTAGAAGTCTTGTTACGCTGGCAGACTTTACAACTGCGAACATACTCTAYGCAGTCATTCTTCATCCCTGGCCAGGTATATGCGCGCATCAGATTGGCTAAAGTTTTCTGCCAACCAAAATGACCCTCTGTGTCATGGCATTCTCCCAAGATCAGACTACGGATCTCTTCACTATTGGGAATGCATAACCGGTCAAAGACATTAGTCTTCTCAAATAGCAACCCTTCAGTAGTGCGGTAGTTCGACTCAGTCTCTGGGGCCTCTCTGACTTTCTTAAGGAGGTCACTATAAATAGGGTCCTGCGCGTAGGCCTCTCTAACCTTCTACTGCAGGTCCTTCCGTATATCAAGATAATGCACTATCGCCCTAAAGTAATCAACCCTTCTACTCAGAGCATCCGCGACTACGTGTACTTCCCTTTGACAGGCTTGAGCTCGAAGTCGTACTGATCTATCTCTGCGGCTCACCTAGTAAGCTTAGGTGTCATCTTGGCCTGCGTCTTTAACCATCGTAACGTTTCATGGTCTGAATAGACTTTGAAGTGCCTCCCAAGCAAGTAGTGCTTCCAGTGGTCTAAGGCTTGCCTGAGAGCGTAGAGTTCCCTCTCATAGGTAGATGTCGCGACCTTCTCTGAAGACATTCTGGCAGACATGAACTCTACGGGCCTATACCCATTGCCATCGTCTTGCTGTAACACTGCGCCTATGCCGTATTGACTCGCATCGGTCGTGACGACAAAGGGCAAGGACGGGTCGGCGACTTTAAGGACTGGATACTCTATCAATGCCTGCTTTAACTTTTTCATGGCAGACGTGCAGTCCTTATCCCACTTCCAGATAGTTTCCTTCCTCAACAATCTGCGAAGGGGCGCAGCGATGGTGGATAAGTTCCTCACGAACTTCCGGTAGTAATTAGCTAAACCCAGGAACGAGCGCAACTCTGTCAGCGTACGTGGCGTGAGCCAATCTCTAATCGCTGCGATCTTGCTATCCTCTGGCTTGACGTCGTCTTCGTCTAAGACGTGGCCTAAGTACAAAACTTGGGTTTTCGCTCAATCACACTTCTTTGCATTAATCTTGAAGTTAGCTTCCCTCAGCTTCTCCAAGACCTGCCTGAGATGACCCTGATGCTCTTCGAGGGTCCTGCTAAACACTAGACTGCCATCTAGATAAACTACAACAAATCTATCTAACCACGGCCTAAACAAATCGTTCATACAGCGCTGGAACGTAGTTGGCGCATTGGTTGGTCCAAAGGGCATCACTATGAACTCGTAGTGCCCATATCTAGTCCGGAAGGCTGTCTTATACTGATCATCAGGATGCACCTCTATCTTTTGATATCTGGACTTCAAATCTATCTTGGAAAAATACTTCGCCCCCTGCACTCGATCTAAGAGATCGTCTATCCTAGGTAGCAGCTCAGCATTCTTTACTGTAATAACATTCAGACCCCTATAGTCTATGCACATCCTCAGCTCTCCCTCTTTCTTAGGGACAAAGAGAACAGGCGCTCCAAACGGAGACGAACTGGGCCTAATCCAACCCTTCTCGAGGAGCTCGTTTAATTGCTTGCGAAGCTCCTCTAACTCCCGAAGGGACATCCTATACATAGCACCCTTAGGAGTTCTACTGCCAGGCTCTATCTCAATGCGGTGCTGGATGGGCCGCGGCACTGTGCCTGTTGGCGGCTCAGTCAGATCTTTGAACTCTTCCAGCAGCTTGGAAATCGCAGGGTCCGTCGGTTTTTCTTCCGTAGGCTCAGATACTTGCCTGACATAGGTCAACAAAAACATGTTCCTCCAATCTCTCCTTCTTCACGAATCTGGCGAACGCGGGGGCACTAAGGCAGTAATGTGCCAAGGAATTCTCTACTCCTGAGACATGGAACAGGCAGGCAGTCTTAGCCTCGCCTGCAGAACTAGGGAGCCTACACTCGTGCTCCTTCAGATGGAGCGTTGCCCCAGCTGCCTCTCCCCAATCCATTCCCAAAACAATATCAAATGGGAGGTTGTCTTCTATGAGGAGAGTCAAGGAGTGGAGAACCTTCTCCACTTTCCCATCTTTCTCTAGGCGGAAATATGCCTGGACTCCCTCTACGTAATCCTCTACAACCATGGTACGATTCTCCGCGAGGATACTAACTATGGGGTCTGTCAGTTTCTGGACTTTAAGTCCCAACCTCAACTTCTGCAGCGCTTTCTTACTAATATAGTTGCAGGTGGCCCCTGAGTCTACTAGGGCCCCTACTCTGCTTCTAAAAATCTCTGTATCTAATAAAATCAGCTGCCCTTTATTCTCCTTCTTCATCTTGGCCCAGGCGGGCATCCTCTCCTTCAACTCTTCCGCAACGCCTGTGAGGGAGGTGTCTAGAGAGATCCTAACACAAGCGGTCTCTGGGCAGCTATCTAGACACCGGTCGGCAACCTCTGCCATAGGCACGTGTGGTGTGGGAGTCTCCTGCCGGCTAGCGCTATGTTCCCCACATGGCCTAGTGGTAGGGGCAGTTGCTACCCCTACCGACGGCTGCCTTTTGGCCCTTGGGCAGCCGTTCGGGTCTCTCGATACTTAGGACAGTATTTGATGATGTGGCCCGGGTCACTGCAGAAAATGCATTGGTCCCGGTCCAATTGTTGTTGCCAAAAAGTCTGGTCCAGACCCAAAGTTTCCCAAGGCCTACCCTGCGGTAGCCCCGGGTGCCATCCTCCTACCCTATAGGGAGACCTGTTCCTAGGACGGTTTTGCGGGGGACCTTGACCCCTGCCTCCCGCTTGGCGGTTTCCTCCTCGGCCGCCAACCCCCTGATTGCCCTGAAACCGGCCCCCTGAGGCCCAGCCCCCTTGGCCTTGGCCTCGTCCTCCTTGCGGCCTCCCTCCAGCCGCGACAGCAGCGTGAGTCCTCCCCTGGCCCACATCGCTGTCCTCCTCCTCTAACCCCCACTCAATCTGATCGTACGGGATTTCATCCACACTACCCTCATCTAAAGTGAGCACAAGACTATCCTTAGCCTTGACCTGTCCTGAGATAGTGCGACCCTTCCACTTTTTGCCCTCGTCTAAATCTTTGTGCCAAAAAGTGGAAATCGACGCAGACTTCGCCTCGAACGCAGGGTCCTGACTCTTCGCAAAGAAGTGGCCACGCAGTGCTTCGGGCATAGCCCGGTAGAAGAGGTTGACCAACTGGGTCTCTGTGACCTTGTGGTCAGGAACAGCCACTAGCTCATCCATTGTGGCTGAAGCCTATATGACGCTTCGTGCGACATCTGCAATGGTCAGGAACAGCCACTAGCTCATCCATTGTGGCTCATCCATTGTGGTCAGGAACAGCCACTAGCTCATCCCGGTAGAAGAGGTTGACCAACAGGCACTCTTCCATTGGCGCGAATGGTCTGAAGCCTATATGAGGCTTTGACGCTTCGTGCGACATCTGCAAATCGCTCGCGCAGCAGCTTCAGGAAATCCTGCGAGGGGAGTGAATGACGAATATGCAACTGGATCGTCATTGCAGTTAGCGGCACGAACTAGGGACCTTGCAAAGTTGGCGGCCTCATCCCTAAGCGCGTGGATCGCAATTAGAATCTGCTGATCCGGGAAGACCTGTTGCAGATGCACATAGGTCTTCACGTTGGCGTCCCAGTTGTCGAAATTCTCTTCCCTTTTCCCACTGTAGGAATCCGGGAAATTGACTTTGATTGGCTCCCTGCGAGGACGTGCCTCTTCCTCCTTGGGAGCTGCCGCCTTGATGCCTTCAATGGCGCCGACGCAGAAGCGTTCAGTCTTCTCGAGGCGATGGCTCACCTCGGCTCCTACTGCGCCTACTAATTCACGGGCAAAGTCCCGAAATCCCAGTCGCATCGAACGCACAGCTATATCCTGGCTGCGACTAAACTCATATTGTTGTTTTTGTACCCTGGCTAAACGCTCGACGCTCTGGGCGATAATCTCCACTTTTTGTTGGAGGTCTACCTGAGGGGTCAATCGTAGGGTTAGTTTTTGCACCTCCTCCAACTCTTTGACCGCTTCACTCGCCGCATTCACCATTCTCTTCTTCTCCCTCATCATGGCAAGTTTCCACTCCATCCTCTGTTGATCCTCCAGTGCCTGTCGCCTAAGAGGGTCTTTCTCTGCATCCCAAGCCTTCATGGCAGCCTCTTGGTCATCCTTTGGGATGTACATCATCACCTCTTCTTCCTCGCCCAGGGATAAGTTGGCGACCCACTCCGAAATCTTCTTCTCCATCGCATCACCGCTGTTGCCACTGTTTTGCCCACTCTTCCTTTGCAGTGGCGGTCCTTCCTCTTCTTCATCCACCTCCTTTAGCTTCTCTTCTTCTTCCTTTTTCAGCCTCTCTTTCTCCCTGGCCATCTCTTCTTCTATCTTCTTCAATTTGGCCGCTTGCTCCTCCTTCAAGGCCTTCTTCTTGGCCTCCTTCTTCTCCTTCCTCTCCTTCAAGATGGCGGCAATCTTCTCCTCCTCCTCCTTCGTGTATGGGTTGGTGGAGGTACCACCCCAGGTATCTACTCTACACGTCATCGCGTGCCAGAACCCCAGAGGAAAGAGGAGACGCTAGAGGGTCCCCCAGAGGGAGAACCCCACAAGCAACCCATACATCGGATAGTCGTCCATCGTGGTGTCAGGTGCACGACAATGTCCCACTCCTCACCACCTAGACCTACCCGGACACACTGACCTACTGACTTACTCTCTAAGATCCACTACTCACAACTACTCTAAGGCTGTCACTACTGAACTAACAGCTGATCAGGAGGCATTTAAGGAGATCCCCCAAACTCCTCAAGAATTTTTTAACGTCGCAGTCAGGACGACGTGATCAGCGTAGTTCTTCCTGGCGATTTCAGCCCGCAACTCAGCCGTTCCGGCCTACTGTGCCATACCGAGTAGCCCGCCGGTCTGTACCGGTCCTTGGAGGGGTTCGTATCCCTCGGGACAGTCGAGTCGTCAGACACAGATCATCAGCCTTACTAGGTCCGGTAGGGGAGTGGTTCAACCAGGCCTCAACACTTAAAGACAACCTTTGTTTCAGCCTACAGCACGAAGTTCAGACCCTCTACACTAAACTCAGTAGACCTATCGGACAATACCGGTCATTGGGCTAGACGAGTTGTTTAACGAGCGCTCGACGCTCACGCCTAGGTCTCCAGATGGAAGAGTAACGCTTTGGTCCTACTAAGCCCGTGTAGGTTTAGCAGCAAGGCCCTATCCTTCATCCATACAGTCCTAGCACCTAGGACAGAAGATACTCAATGCAGAAAGAGTAGATAGACAGACTCAACAAGTACCGTGGGGTAAGTGCACATCCACAGGGTAAGGGGATAGGCTAAGGGCTCAACGAGATATCACCAACTCCAGCTTGGTCAAAATCTTGGTCAGCAGCTTCGGTCAACACCTTGGTCAACGCTGAGTCAACGCTTGGTCAACACCCCTGGTCAACGCCTGGTCAACCCTCTGGTCAACCCTTGGTCAACCCTCTGGTCAACGGTCTGGTCAACGCCCGGTCAACTCCTCACCTCGGCTATGGCTGCCGGCACCTCCACCTTCGTCACCCTCGCCGTCTACTTCCCCTTCCTTCACTTTCTTCCTTCTTCTCTTTCTCTGTTTTTTTTTTTTTTGTTCACCCCCGGCTATGTCTGTCTTCTTCTTCAATC